TCCCCCGCCGAGCGTCGCTGTCGCCTCCCCTGTTTGCCCCTGTTCTGGCCGTAGGGTGACGCACGGCGGCGCCACTCTGCGCCGTCCCTATCCGGCCAGAGCAGGGCCGGGGTAGCACGCCACAGGGACTGGCCATTAAGGCCAGTCCCGTCTTCCCCATTTCCCGGTCTCCCTCTCTCTCCCCTTCTTCTTCTGCACTCACAGAGCCGGCCCCCCCTCTGCACCGGCCTAAATGGCCACGAAAGTCGCGGGCCAGAGTACGCCGGTGCAGGCCGTCGTCATGCGGATGCAACGAAGCAGGGGGCAACGTCATCGCCGGCTATATATAGCCAGAGAGAGAGAGAGAGAGAGAGAGAGAGGCCGGTCGGCCATTTTTGAGAAAAACAGAACAGAGAGAGAAGAGAGAGAATAGGGAGAGAGAGAGAGAAAACCGAGGTCACGCCGGAGCCAAAGGAGAACCAGCAGCGGTCGTCGACGCCCCCAGATCAGCCGGAAGCCCCCTGGAAGTCAGCACAAACCGGTGAGCCTTCCCGGTCGCGACATTCCCTGTTCACCCCTGTTTTTTGGCACGGTTTGGCCGGGACTCGCGTCGGCCGTGTCGCGCGATTCCCGGCCCATACCGCCTTCAGTCACGGTCTCCACTCTCTGTCGAAGGCGAGCTGCAGCTTCCGGAGCCGACCGGATCGCCGGAGGAGGTCAAAACCCCTCAGTTTTTGTTGCGCCTATCATGTGTTCGCTAAAATGCCTCAATGAGGCCGGGTAAGTTTTGCTCGCCGGCCGGCGAGTAGGTGGCCGGACGGTGAGCTTGGTGGTCGGTGAAGCTCGGTGGTGGTCTTAGGGGCCAGATTTTCGGTCGGCGCTGGTTTGGGTCGGCCGGCGATAGGCCGATTTTCGGCTTCACCGGCGTCTGCGCACGAGGGTTCGGCCTGACCCGGTTCAGCTGACCCGACCCGGGTCAACGCCCGGGGTCGGATCCGTTGACCCGGGTCAATTCGACCGACCCGGATCAGCTGATCCGACCCGGGTCAACGCCATGGGTTGGATCCGTTGACCCGGGTCGATTCGACCGATCTGGATCAACTGACCCGACCCGGGTCAACGACCGGGGTCGAATCCGTTGACCCGGATCCGCAACCCGACCCGGTTTCAAATATTATATTATTTTTTTATTTAAAAAAAATTTTTAAAAAATTTTTAAATTTTTTTTTCTTTTTCTCTTTTCGTATTTACTTTTTTTAAAAAAAAAATTTAAAAATTTAAAATAAAAATATTTAAAATTTTTAATATTTTTAAATTATGTGGTTTATCTGAATGTTTTAATTTATTGTTATATTATTATGCATGTTGTTATAATTGCATAAATTGCCATGTTTAAATTAGATAAGCCTATAGGGTTATCCAGTAGTATTTTGCATGTCATTTTTACTACTGTTTTGCTATTATTATGCATGTTTTTAATGAAAACATAATTGCATGAACTGTTATGTTTTGAATATCATCTGACTTAGTTAGGATTAGAGCCTAATGCTGCATATCTATCTTGACTGCTAATCGTTTTTGATTATGCACTCGCTTGATCACCTCATATGTTAGGAGAAAGGTTCTAAAATCAATCCAAATTGCCTGACAAATGTTTTCAGAAATGAACAGGGTAAAAAGGTACCGAAAGGGCATTAGTTATCCAACTAGTGTAACCAAGTCCCCGAACTCAGTTAATCTCTGATTCGTAGGAATAGGGTGATTCTCCCATTACCTTATTTGGGTTTCTAATCGACTCATCCCAAATCGATTAGTGGCGACTCTTTGATATAAACCACTTGCATGTTAAATACTTAAACCCTAAGTCGCGATATGGTATGGGCTTGGGAGAGCCCGAGTTAAGTCCCGAACCTAGACTTAGCACGTATCAGGCGAGCCCCCCCCTTTTTGCCTGTTTGCCAATACAAAGCGGGGAGGTCGGTCGCGACAATTATTAAGCGATAATTAGTTACTTCATCTAATATCACGATGAGGGTTTCTTCAGAGTTTTCTTGTAGCAGTCGTTCCTTTAGAGAACATATTGTTAGGCCTGCTTCGAATCCAAACCCCACAATTAGTAGTTGCCTAATATCTGCATGGATCTGTCGCATGCATGGCTGAATTGATGGGATTTGCCAATGCGCGATCCATTCTCGTAGCTGCTTGTTGATGCAAAAAGGGTATGATGGATTATTCCAAACGAGCAGATCTTAATCACGTCTTTGGGTAGACATTAACCGACACATCCTGTGTCCCACCTTTTGGGATAGTAGTGACCCCTCGTGGGGTTGAAACTTCTATGTATATAGTGCAATTGTTCTGCTCCTCCCACAAAAAAAAAAAAAAAACAAAGGAAAATGACACAAACAGTCCCTAAGCTTTGGCCCAATGTGCAATGTGGTCCCTAAACTTTTAATTTGTTTATTTAATTTGTTCAATGTCATCTCTGAACTTTTGGTACATATTCAATGTAGTCATTCTATTAATTCAAGTTCAAGGACTACATTGAAAATTTTCATATAGTTCAGGGACAATATTGAACATATACTAAAAGTCCGGGACCACATTGAACAAATTAAAAGTTCAGGGACCACATTGAACATTAGACTAAAGTTCAGGGACTACATTGAATAAATTAAAAATTCAGGGACTATATTACACATTGGGCCAAAGTTCAAAGACTATTTTTGTCATTATCCCAAAAAACAAAAATGTGTATCACCTTTGCTAATATTATTCCTGAACCTGGAGAGGCTCTTTTGGCGCGCGTGATATCATTAGAGAAAGATCAAGATCGAAGAGAGCACTCCGTGTGACCAAGAGACGACAGAGGCATGTTTTCTCAATACGAACAGTAGTAAAACTCTACGGAACATGATACCGGGGTGCGACGAGGTCGATGTCGAGACTTTATTTTAGAGAATAGCGGACCACATAGCGATGTTGAAGCTGCAAGTTCGTGCTCTTAAGAGCCTCCTAGGACTGTATGAATCTTGATATGATGCTTTCCCATCTATCCTTTTGTATTGCGGTTTGGGTTACTCCCAAGTGGTGTAAGTATCGGGGCGTATACATGCCTGTCTATTACCTTAGTTACCAAGCATCTTTCTCTTTTTATGTCGTGCGGTGTCCCATGACTTCAATAGTATCTTCATCGATCGATCGTAGGGTTTGCAGGGTATTCCATCTCTGTGCTTGTACCCTAAGGTCATAAAAAAGAGACATTGATAAGAAAAAGGATAAAAGAAACTTATTTGGGATTTCAATATTGATAATTGAGATGCTTGTTATGTATTGAAAGAGTGATTTACCAACGATTTTATTTGTTGCACGTCACAAGTGTATAGCGAAAAGATATGACTTAGCATGTGAATAATCATGTTGATTTCATTATAAGAATTGTTGACATCCAAATTTTAGCGACCCATTTAGTCATTCATTGTATAAAAAATTAGGGACTGACCCCGACCCATAAACAAAAACATTATTAATTTCTATTTGCATATTAGGAGCATTTTCATTAGATAATAATATGCCCACATAAATTGCATTTTGATTGGATTGGTGTAGGGAAGCTTTGAGCTTAATTAAATTATCTGGACTGAGCTTGCAAGAGAACAAAATCTGACCAATCCCATTGGATATATAATATGGCCAAAAATCACATGTGCATGGCATAAACTAGGAAGATTATATTCTTGTATTAAATTGGAGAGCGGGTAGGCATATTCCTTGAGAATTTCGGCAAATATGGATATGAGAGACGAAGAGATTCTAATTAGAAAATTTGTAAATTTTTTTGAATTTTATGAAGGCACAGGATTCTTGACAAGAAAAGGATTGTGGGCACGTGGTTAAATTTGGAGAGGTTCATTACCTCAAGGAATGGCAATCTGAATATATACAATCAAGAGCAAAAAATGATCAAGCAGACAAAGTATATGCACGTTCACCCACAAAAAGAAAGTTACAGTTCTATTCTTGGAGCCCAACTTCTTTACTTACAAAAAGAACACACGTTCACTAAAGGAGGAGAATAAAGTGCAGAAAACTTGCTGAGAACAGTGAAGGTCTTTCTGTCTCTCGGTCTGCTCTCCCGGCAGTTCCCCACAAGCCCCGGCGTTCCAAAAGCAGTCCTTGCGGTTTCCTACTCAGCCATAAACGGAGAATATATTGGGTGGTCCTGCACGTCATGTCAACCACACGCCTCTTTATCGTTGATCGCTACGTGTCAAGGCGGGGGTCCACGTTTCAGATTTTGAAGAATCCCTTTCTCAGTCACCTGCTCCTTTTTCACGAAGACCCCTCAACTTCATCTTCATCGTCTACACAAAACCACCATAGATCTCGAAAGCTACTAATAATAGAGGCCGAGAAATGTGGGTTATTGCAACCGTCGAGTAGTGGATCAGGGGACTTCAAAAGTAATCGGTGATGCTGGATGTGAAGAGTGGAGGAGCAACTATTGGGTAATGAAATTGTGAGTTCTAGGAGTCACGTAAAATGTATTTAACTTCTTTGTAGTCGTTGTTAACTTTGTTGGTAGTAGCTATAAATACTAGAATTGTAATCCGTACAAGGGACTGTCAATCAATCGATGAACATCAGTTGTTCAATTTTTATCTCAGTTTATTTTTACATTTCAATACACTTTAAAATGACTGGACACGATTATCTCCAGTCTCAGTACTTTTAATTTTCTCGTTGATTTGCATTGCCTATCCAAGAATCAACAGATGAGTATTCACATCCTTTGTTGATATGTTCATTGATCCACGGTCCGAAAGGTATTTCGTCTGACGCCTTTTGGCGAAGCAGTTTCGTACTCATACAAACCGGATATCCCCATCTCTCTTTGCTAATCTCCCATCTCAATGGTTCTTGAAGCCGTGATTGTGGCAGAAACAAATTATGTGCTTGACAAAAACTATATCGATATACACACACGACATTATCACGCATCCATACAAAATATTAGGGTTTTATTTCCTATAAAACTGAAGCTCATAGTTGGTAAATGAAGTGGACAGCATTAGTAGATGATTGATAGTGGTCGTCCACAGCTTGTATCGTCGATAATCATCCACCATGTCCAGCTTAATCGTTCCACGGCTCGTCGTCAATACAATGAGATAGCATGTCCCGGTCTCTTCGGCCTCTCCATCCTTATATAGCTCAGCATGCAAGTCCAATACAATGCCTATTCAAAAAGCATATTCGTTAATAAGTGATTAACGATAATGAGGAGAGATTAATTTGAGACCAAGATGGAAAAGAGAGAACGTACTTTCCTGTTTGCTTTTGAACAAATTGAGCTTCCTAAGTTGGAGAATCACCTGAAAAAGTAAGAACGAGCCATGGTAGATTCATTTGATAAGTCGCACTCAGTATTGCTCTATATATAATTTAGAGAGTTCTAACGTTCATCGATCAAAACATGAATAGTTGCCCAATCAGTTCTAACGTTAATCTATTATACGGATGCCAATTCGGTGTAAACTTTTCAATTTTGCCAATGCAGTCCTAAATTATTGTGCGAAATTTTGATGTAGTCATCCCGACCAATTGCCGCTGAAAATTACTGACTTGGCTCAAGTCATCACCGGCATCGTACATGGCACACCGACGTGGACAACTTGTGGATCGCCGCTTCATGTCTGCCATTTCTGGTGACAATTGGTTGGACGGATTATATTAGAATTTCGCACAGAGGTTTAAGGTTACATTGGAATTGGCCAAATGCGAAAGTTTAGGACTGAATTGGTGGCCGTATAACAGGCTTATGACTAATTGGGTAATTTTACCATTAAAATACGTAACCATGCACGTACATATACATATCTAGCTATACATCGTACACTGGACAATAAATTGTTCTTGAATTTAAGACGTATCTAGTTTCCTAGGTGACCATGTATGTATGCTAATATCTTGAACAAATTAATATTTACAAAAATTGTTCCCCCATGTATATCATAAACTATAATCGCCAAAAGGAATAAACACACACCTTGGCTTCGTTGTTTAGGAACAAAGAAACTGTTCTGGCCACGTACCTCCCTGTCCGAATTGATTCATAAAGTAGAAAAGCATAAGTTCTAGAGAAACAAAAATGAAAAATATGATAGTAATTAGCAAATTACACGACGATTATAGTATGATCAGTAGTAGTGTTATGCATTAGGATCCCGGAGTTTTACGAACCGTCTGGGGCTTCGATGCTGAGCTCGGTACCTTTGGCCAAGATGGAACGACACTTGTCGAAGTCGAAGTCAAAGTCGTTCTGGTCGTGGTCGATAGGAAGAACTGGTGAAGTCCCGTTCAATCTGTTTCTGCATCCGGTCCTTGCCTTGAGCGTGGCAGCTCCTCTTAATGCTGAAGAGAAAACATTCATCAAAAGCAACATATGACAGATCTCAGTTACTTGAGAAGATTATGTGGTAATAATGTGGAAATTTGCTCAGCTCATAGAAAAAGGAGGAATGAGTTTGGCTGATGAAACTAATTTTAATTCTTTTCTTATTGTTTATAAGGTGGATAGAACGTGACGCGGGACATGATAAGCTTCCAAGATTACAATTTGTTTAATTTTTCCTTGTTTCGGGATTTTAGAATTTTCAGGTAATTATTTTAGAGAGTTGAATAGTTTTATTTCCTTTTGTCTTTGAGATTGAACTAGGATTATAGGGATATTATCTATTTGGATGTAGAAATCACTAATTTAGGTTATCTAGTAAGATTTCTTAGTTACTTGTTTCTTAGTTTGAATGTTTTTGTCTATAGTTTTTTTCCATAACGCTTCATTTTTCATGTAAAGACAGCCCACTTCTTTCGATGAACTAATGAACTGAGAGAGTTTTCTTCGTTATTGCGTAAGCTTGCGTGTTTGTGAGCTGCAACTCATGTTTGCAAGGTAAAATTAGTGAAATATGAGCTTAAGTGCCGGAACACGAAGGAGATTTTTCCTTTTTTAACTCGTGTTTAAGATTTGTAGGATTTTAGAGATCTGGTATATTTCTATTTAGAAATGTTTGATTTAGAATTAATCTAGGATTCCCAACTTACTCGTTTCCTAGTTTGAACATATTAATTTTTCGTGTTTTTTTAGTTATAAATATTGCTTAATCTCTCATGCAAACCAATCTTTTATCATCACTTTTCCAGAATGAATTAAAGAGAAATTAGATTGAAAAGGAGCGCCTTACATGTAGTAGCTGCGGCGGTGAGTGTCAAGACGTCACTTGCACTGGTGCTGCTCATGGCTGATGTTATAACATTGCTAAGCTGCTCCCTCTTCGCTCCCATCGCCTCCGCCACTTGCGCGCACTGCGCCGCCACAAGGGCCGCTGCAGATGCCACTGCTGCTTCCTTCTCCGAGCTTGAGGACAAAGGCTCGCTGCTTTTCGAGCTCTCGGCAGCGATGGCAGCTAGGGCGGCTGCTACACCGGCCACCGACATCGCCGCGTGAACTTCGGTTCTTTGCAACCTCTCTTCTTCCTTCCTCTTCAGTTTCATCTCTTTCAACCACTTCTTAATTGAGATGATCTTGAATGACATCATCTTCCACGGAGCCTGTGCGAGAGGAGCATGAGATCCAATATGAAAAGTCATATTATGACAAAAACAACAATGATAGATACGCTAAGATCGGTTTTTATGAAAATCGACAAGCTAAAGTGACAAGGTGAATAGTTATCTGCGTCAACTATAATGACCCACTTGTCTAAATATCGTATTTCCACTTGCATGCTATCACTTCTTAAGTTAACTAGCCATACCAATTTCAAGGCCCGGTTCTTAGTAGATATAATTACCACAATTCATTTGAAATATCTAGCATAAGACTTTACGTTGCTAACTTGCTATACATCTGAAATGTTTCACTTACCCATTTTTTCCTGAAACAGCTGTTATAGTTTAGTTCTGGGTGCATGGCCTGTTGCATCCATATCCATGACTGTGGAAAAAGAATATGAAACAAGGGCTTTTCATTAGCACTATCAATTAGTCATTTATGTCTGAGTATAAATATATGGATAGAGTTCACTTCGTTATTTATGACTAAGCAAATGTATAACATTAGTACCTTGACGTTATTCGATTTCCATGGAGGTAAAGACTGGAAACCTGCATCATCCATGGTCACACTATTGTCCATCCTCTGCAGATTGTATAACTTAGCATCATATCTCCTCTCACCAAAATAAAACTTATACGTAATAACTCGATGATCCAACAAGTTAAAGTCGCTTTTACTCAACTCACCAGGAAATTGCTAGGAGAGCTCGTTTCTTTCTCGAGTTTCTCGATTGGGGGATCAAGGAGGACGATCGACTGGTGGTGAGGATCGTGCAATGGAGGCTGAAAAGCTTGGACTGCGAAATTGCACCATGCACTGGAGAGGAAGTCCATGGTCTCGGGATGAGCTTGAGTTGGTGCAGAGCTGAAGTTGGACTCCATGTGAATGTGATTGCTTTTCAAGAAGAAGAAGAATAAGATTAGGAGATGAGCAGAGATATGAGCAAACTCTAAGCATGGGGGGTATGCTTAAATAGATTGGTTCTTTAATCACTGTTATTATTAATCTCTGAATTTTGTATTGTGGGGCCCAACTCTGACATTACACTGTGGCCCATTTAGAGAGCGGTGGTGGTGTGTATCATCATAACCCCTAGGCCTTAATCATAGAAGACCTCGATTGATTTTTTATAACTAAATATAATGAAATTATAAGAAAAAGAGAAAGGAAATGAAAAGAAATTGTTTAAGTTTCAGGATGAAGTTCAGTGTGTTTTCCTTAATGAAATATATAAAGATTGGCAAGATAGAGCCCGTTATTATCCGTAATATTTCGTCTCTTTTCTAAGGATGAAACTTAAAGTTTGAGTTATTTTTTTGAATCTCATCGATAGATGTCCTTGGTAAGATGACTCAAATAAAAAGAAAATTAATGAAGATACTTTCTTTTGTGCCCTCATTTGTTGAGATGCTTTCGAAACTGGAAAATGAACATATGTCCAAAAAAATATGAAGAAAAAACATAACTCAAAAATCAAATCTATCAGTTTTTCAAAATATATTTAATAAGTCTTAATAAGTTCCCTAAAAGAACCCTCTATAATTTCCCATGTTAGTTTAAATGGTTTTGTAGCTCTTTTCTCTTCTAGAAAAAAAGTCGTGGACGTTAATTTAAGCACTGAATTATAAATGTCGAAAATACAAATACAAATTTGTCCGACAATCATTGAAATCGGTGGATAAATATGACTAATTTCTCATCAAACATGGAACCGCGATCTTATTGTTAGAGTTTAACAAAATAATTGGCAATATTCAAATTACCATTTATTATTTTTCCTACTCGCGGGATTGAGTAACCATTCCTTACTTACTAGGTTAAGTGAATTTTTGACTTAATTGAGTGTATTAAATAAATAATAAATAGAACAATAAAAAAAGTTTGATCTAATTATGTGTTGGATTTTCAATTGAGTTATATCAAACAGGGCTTAACATGTTGAAATGGATCTTAAAAAAAGAGATCATTAACGATCCAGACACGTGTATTTTCCATTGCCAGGGCACAATTCAACTTCGAAGTACTCATCACCAACATATGCAACTTGTACCTTTTTCCCCCCTCCATATACAACTAATCAGTGTTGTGAATGTTGTTCCAAGTATATGTCCGTGGAAGACAAAGAGGGACATTCAACAGTAAATGACAGGTTGTTTCCCATCCCCTTATGCAGATCAAAAAGCTTCTCCCAATGAAGTGGACAGAATTTAGATGTAGCAGTTGGATAAGTGTAAGGCTGGGAACTCGCAGAGCAGTCATTGCCCTACAGAGAATTGGGGGAGGCCCCCTTCTCTTTCGTGTCTCCAAATGAAAACCATATCCTCACGCTAAGGCTTTGGGAATGTTTTGGATATGAAGAGAATAACGAATGAACTTTAAGCAAGAGCTGTTCAAGGGCCACCCCAGGGAAGAACCCTAACCAAACAATCTTGTAAAAAAAGAAGGAAAAAAAAATGGAAGGAAGGTAAAGCATGAGGGGCATTATGAGCAAGCGTGCACTTGGGCCATGGAAAGCTAAAAGGTGGGAGACACACATGATTGATGTAAAAGCATTGATGAAAAAAGCAGAAGACATGTATCATTGAAGCTGAACATTCTTTAGCAGTCCCCTCAAAAGCTTGTGAATCAACAACTTGGGTCGATGATGGAGATAAATTATAGCTTTTGGTTATAAAATTCAGTAGCTAGAGCTGTTGGAGGGGGCTTCCATGAAGTTGCTCATCTTCAAAAGGGGGTTAACATTCTTTTCCTGATGGGATCGTGTTGAACTTACTATTCGAGATTTGATTAAAGTTGCGCTTATTCGAGTCATGTGGAAGCAAGCATACTTCGTATCATCAATAGTTAGTTTATGTGTGGCACCCCATGCTTTTAACAAAGTTGATCTGACATTTAAATGGAAGTTGCGGGCAAGAAAGGAATGTTCACATGTGCATCCACAGATGCTCGTATAAGCACAATGGTCGTGTCATAAATTCAATATCTTATGAGCGGGTTCCCTCTTGAATAGCAAAAGGAAAAGAGCTATGTGATTTGAAATCAAAGTCTCATTGTGGTAGATATATGAGATTGCTACATTTTTATGTAAGTCAAAGGCTCATATCTTTCGACCAAAAAAAAACACTCATATCTCACTCTTATAAGGAACAGGATCAATAAGGATTTGGCTAGCTTGATATATCAGCTAAAAATGATACGATGAACGAAACATCGAGTAAAAAATTGAGAAGATTCAACAAATAGAGTTTGCTAACCTGACAAATTCCAGATTTGGATGTGGCACGTATAGTGTTTGAAACACAAAGTCCCATACCTTAATTTATATATTTTTTTATGCCAATTGGACATACGGTTGCAGATAGAACTTCGTCACAAAAGAGTAATTGCAATCTTGTGATTGGCGCGCTATACCATAAGACACATGCAACATATCCATAAAATAGTTGTATATTGGGATGTTGAATGAGAATGGGCCATAAGTACTCCCATTCCTTGGGCTTTCGATTGCATAAAACCCAAGCTAGGGATGCCGAAATGCAAAAGGCTGTCCAGCCCAATTTTTGACATCATATACCCTAATTTATAATCTACACTTGATCTTAGCTAAAAGACCGAGAAAGGTACCCCTAACATATGTTGCTCAGTGACATAATATTGTGTCTGTCTTCCAACAAAATCGATTCGCACAAGTTTAATTATCCAAGTAAGTACTCAAATCAACAAAAATACAAGATTAATCCGTTCCGTTGAATCCCAGTAATAGAACAAATTCAAGTTCTCCAGCTTGGGATATACTAGAACTTCAAACTTGAATGACTACAAGAACATTCTTAATCAACTAGCAAAACTATACTATGTAGCAACCACAAACTTGGGAAGACTTGAAAGGTTATTTGTAAACGATTCGCGAATTGCTACATAGGTCCCAAATTATTTTTTTCAAGGATATGGTAGTACAAATTCACTTGGTTCTAGTTGACCAGGCCCTCCAAGGACTTGGTTGGGGAGAATTCAATTCAATCCAAGTGTGATCTTTTGATTGTCAGAGAGCACGAGAGCGTAATCAAAGCAAAAGAAGAGGCTCCAATCAAGGACCTTATGTCCCAACAAGCACACATGGTCAAATTAATGAGCTTGGAATCGATTTATGGCCTCGAAGCATCTCCCCTCTCTCTCTCTCTCTCTCTCTGTCTCTCTGTCTCTCTCTCTCTCTGTCTCTCTGTCTCTCTGTCTCTCGCAAATCGTCCTTCTCAGAGAAAGAGACTAAGCAAACGTGGTGTGTGCACGGGTGCAACCCTTCCTTTGTTAAGCTATTTTCCCCCGGGTCAGTACCAACTTTGCTCCTCTAACTCGTATCTCTCTCCATGATTCAAGACCCATCTCTGCTATTGTTGACCAAAATCAGCTCGACAAAGCAATCCATACGTCTAGAGGTCATCCCTCATTTATGACTACATTGAATTGCATACAACACAGTGCCACAACCCCCCCCCTCTCTCTCTCTCTCACGCAATACCGAACACATGCGGCGCGAAAACAACGTATAATGTTCCTTGAGATGTCTAGTACACTCAATCTCTCCTTCATTATCCATCTCCCTCTGCATACATGAGGATTTCAACTCTCTATTGACCATGCGTCATGGGTTTGTTGAAATTATTAGAGAACCGTGTGACGTTGCGAACTTGAATCATCGGGACTTAAAACGGTACGTTAGGCAGATCTTTACTCTTGTCCTAGGAATTTAAACTTCGAGCTTCCGTGAAATGAGGTCAAAAACATGTGAGGCATTTCCTCAGATAAACTCGAATGAGGAAGACTAAATTTGGTTAGGGTAAGCATCCTTCTTTTTCATGTTAGAATGGGCATTATACTCAATGTGTAATTCCGCTTCTAAAGCAACATAATTCAAGCCGCTCCTGTGGGTATGAAACTCATTTATATCGAGGATACTGAAGTTGACAAATGAGCTTTGGAAATTGCAAGATTGTCGACAAGAGAAGAAATTAATTAGTAGGTGGGGTAAAGCTAAACAATTAATCTAAATCTTGAAAACTTGACGAGTAAATAGTAAATGACAAAGAGAAAAGGTGGAAGAGACTCGGACTTTAGTGACATTGAGTTGCATATACAGGCATTGAACTATATATAGCTTAATCACATTTTGCCTCAACCCACCTAATCTTGCAAAGTGGAGATCAAACAAAATCTATTTATCAACTTAAATCATCATAGACGATGATTTCATTTACCATCTAGGAGCTCACTCGCACGAGCGAGAGAACGCATGACGTCAACTTGAGCTCGGAGCCACACCATATAATCTAGGGTTTCTTCTATCAAAGAGATAGCGTCCATTGATTCTCCTCCTGGTACAAGGTTCTTGAGCAAGTGTGTTCTCTTCTTTACCAACCTCTTGGCAATAGAGTTTGGTGGATCTTTTAGAGCGCCATTGCTCAGTTTTCTCACTCTCCTAATGCCCCAGCTCCTTTTCAATATCTTCTTGCTGGCAATCTTCTTGGCCACGGAAGTTGGTGAATTTGCCACAACATCAATGGAAGCTTTCTTGTGCTTCACAGCATCAGAGCCAACGATATGTTGAAGGAGAGCTTTGTTGTCATCATTTTGGGAGGCACTTGCGACTAGGGCACGACTCCAACGGGTCTTGCAATTCCGGACCGAAGCCAATGCGAGGTCTGCTGAGAGCTTTATGGCTTTCCTTCTCTCCATGATCGTCATCTTCTTCTTTGAGGAATTGCATAGCTGGAGACCCATTATCCATTTCTTGAGGAACTTTTGCTTTATTGAGCTAGCACTGTGCATTCTGAAGAAAAATGTACAAGGAACAATTATGTAAGGCTTTCTGTACATAGAGATGAATGAAGAAATTAGCTTCAACATAAAGGGAAGATTCTTGGATTTGATTTGGAAATGCTTGTTCTTTACATCCTACGCATTTCATGAGGAATTGTCCAGCTAATTTGTGAATTCTTGAGCCAGCTAAATGTATGCTTCGTTTTCTTGCTTTTTAACCCAAAATGGTTCATGAAACAATATCAACGCAACCTTAAACAAAGCTCAAAATGATTCCTGTGAACGAATAGAGGGTTGAAACCCTCATCAACACTTCTTTTGTATAAATCACGGCAAAAAGAAGTGCTCGTAGGACATATACAAAATGGAACATACCTCTTTCAGTGTTGTGAGAAGTGACCATGAGAAGGAAGATGACTGGAGATGACACACCACAAGGATCAAGTCACAGATCCTGATCCAAGAAAGATAGATATCCAGAGAAGTTTCAGAAACCCAAGAAAAACAAAACTAAGAAAAGTTTGGGTGCGTTTTTGAAGAGAGAAAAGAGGGAATGAGAAGGTGAAGAATGTGAAGAAACCCCCATTTTATTTGCTCAAAGGAGAGAAGTGGTGGGCCTTTCCGAGAAAGACACAGCACATGCATGCACATGGTGACCATGGCCCGCCACCTAAACCTTCCCTATACAATAGAAAGAAAGCCAAAAAAAAAAAAAACAGCAGCCTCATAGACATATACATAGTTCTTGTTGGTTTTATTTTATGTATAGTGAAGAAAAAAAGTCCCCTTAGTGTCATGCAAACCTAACATTTGTGACTTCTTACTAATACAAACAAAACTCACTAAATGTGCTTTCCGGCCCTATTTTGGAAGTAGGGGAAGTGGGCAATATAGGAGCATAATAGAGAGTGCCTATATCTTCTTCTTTTCTTTTTTTTTTCTTTCGGTACAGAAACTTGTGGGGTTTTCATAACTAATGGCTTGGACCAAGATTTTCACCAGGCTGCTCCATCTTTGACTTGTCATGAGTTGACATAATGTGCGTGTCATTGAAAACTAAGCATATTTCTTTTTCTACATGCATGTGTTTGGAAATGATGAGTAACCAAGAGAACCAAATATCTGCCTTGCACATCCTTCCAACAAGATAATGCTCATACACCCTGATTTGGCAATCTCATGTTGCAGCGCTTATCTGCTGGAGGTAATATCGATAGATAAAATCTAGCACAAGATACAAAAAAATTCAATAGAGTTTGTAGGAGGAAAGAAATTAATTGTTTTATTAATAATATAGAGGGGAAGGTGTGGAGAGTTAGCTACCTATGACCTATGAAATACCTTGCAAGTCCCATGAACCGGTTAAGACTAAGCCTTTGGCTTATGCAGGTGGCTCTGGCTTAGAACAATTTGCACACAATTGGTAGGATTCAAGCGGGTGACCTTTATATCCCTCAATGCCCCAACTAATTACGCCAACTCCAAAGGTACAAAGAAAGAAAGGAAGAAAGAAAATCTAGAGAAAGCCAATTATTTTAGGGATACTTAAATGAGCACATTGCACGATAAAATTGAAGAAAAAAAACACATTTCATATTCTCCATAAGGGTGTGCTCCAATGTACTTGTGCATATGAAATATAAGTAATGAATAGCTACTAGGTTATATAGTCCTAATTTCATATTCTTACAACATGTTTAAATGTCTCAAGCCGGTTAAATAAAAATGGAGTTCATCATTTTCCTTTTCCCGCATGAAATAATAGAAAACAAGTTAAACTTCTATCATGTATGTCAGGCATTCGGTGATTCCGGAATATATATATATATATATATCAACGTATATTATATAAATTCTCTCCATCTGCGATATCATACAAAGTACATCTTTGCATATTCAATTTATTAATTTCCCTAAAACGGTGGGGAGGTTCAAAAGTCAAATGATTCTTTTTGGTATTATTCCGGTTGCCTTTTTACCTCTATATCCATCTGCCATATCCATTGTACCCAATGTGAAGATTGCGCCAGCTTTTCATTAATATTCATTAGACAGCAATGTGAATAGGTAAACATTATGTTTTCCCAAATAGTATAAACAAGCGAACTTTACAGTTGTTTTTGGGCATTGTTCCTACTCCCGCTTTTACCTCCATCTCCAGCTGCCACAAACATTGTATCTGTACCCCATGTGAATAGCTCACCACCTTTAAATAGAGCGAAACCCAACATTGGAAAAAAAAAAACCATGTCTCATTGAGAAAAATTAAGAACCAAGAATAAAGAAATTAAAGCTTCAATGGACACATGGGTCGATGTTTCATTGACGTAACATGGAAAAGAAAAGGGGACATGGTGGAATCTTAGTTGCGAGTGTGAGTCTTGTTCAATCTCTTCTCGGACTAATAAGGGCTTTTTAATTGGGTGTGATTGAGAGGAGGGAATTGGCAGGATCCGGAAAACATGGTAATGATGGGAGGACAGACGGGTCCTACAAATTGAGAGGAATTCTAGGGCATCGGGTTTGGGCATGGGAGAGAGGGAGGGGAGGTGAAGAAGAGCTCCCCTCACATGGTCTCCACATGGGGGTTTTCAAAGCATGGCCTTTGAGCCACGCACAACGTACAGATCTCGTTCAATAATTAGATTTCTCCTGCTTGCACAAAGAGGGATATTTGGACTTTTTCCCCCCCCACCTCCGCTGTTTTCTTTCTTCTGTCTTAATTTCTCATGTACCCTTTTTGTAAACAAAATTTGGTAAGAACCCCCTCCATGTAAAAATGTTGAGCAAAACTGCTTTATTACTTTATTTTACTGCTTTATTACTTTATTTTAATCACCCTTAAGGTTATTGTGGTGCATTGTCCAAATCAAAGGACCCAAAAGATTAACATTGCACTAATGTTTACATGTGAATCTGTTATCTCAACCATCTGTTGTGTTGAAACATGTGTCAAGATCCCTCTTTCCCATGTATATGGAAAACCTAAGATTCTATAGAGGTAACATTCATGTTATGATGGCCGTACGGGTTATTCACCATTGAGACAAGTTTTGGATTTCCCCAAGTGATTGAGGAATTAATAGAAGAAAGTTTCCACCCTCCAAGCTATCTCTCTCTTTACTTCTCTCTCTCTCTCTCTCTCTCTCTCTCTCTGCCCTGTTGAGTTGCTTGATTTGTGGCACTTTGGCTTTCATGTGGACTAGTGGGACCAGATTGTCAACGGGTTTGAATGGGTGTCCCCATATGCTGGATTACAACAATTTGTTCCCAAATCACCATACAGCTCTGATTAGTTTGTTCTCTTTCCCCTTTTAATCTGTGCTTTGTATGGGGACGGATCGGAGTGCGCCAACGAGCCCTTTGAATTTCAAACGAGAGGAGGCACAGACAAACCATAGTACCGTGGATCTATCACACGCTCTTTACTAGGTAGGTGTTCCTTTTTAGATCACTTACCAGCAAAGAAGCAAATGTGAACATGGTGTGAACAAAAAAGAGTGGAAGAAAAAAAGAAATTCGTCAAAGCGCATGCAAAAAGGGAAAAAAAATTGAAGACTTGGATCATCCTAACAAAGGAATATAAAGGGCTGGAGCTGAGGAAGATTTGAATCTCAATTGGTGATTAGTACATGAAGGATTCGGGGGTGTTGCAGTCAGTCGTGCATGTCGGACTTATTGAATTAAGATATCTACATCATGTATGATATAAGATTGCTATTTTATCTTAATATAAGACGTGGGTTTTCATGAATATTTTAGATGAATTTTTAGGTTGAAGGCCACCCTGAAGTACGATATATTATCTTAATGGTGCTAAGTTGCTAATCATAGGGACAACGTTGTAAATAATAGAGACACTCCAACTAAACTCATATTACCGTATGCAAATACCAAATATATTCAGACCAAAAGAAAGACCACGCCACACAAGAAAAGCAGTGATTGCGGAAACCAAAAGTGAAACTGTACCTTCATACATACTCATGTGGAAGACTATGCGCATGCATTTTTCGTACCTGAACTTACGACATGATAGTCCTGTTCGAAAGTCCATCCGAGATATTATCATGCAAGTACTTTGAAAACTGAGGATGACAAAGTTCAGATTTGAATCTCAGATATTTATAGTGTCGAAATAACCTTAAGCACCGCCGGTTCGCCTACTAATTAGTTTATATCACATTCAATTTTATCCTCTCGGTTTGATTTGGTTTACGATGTCCTAAGCCAAATCATAGTGGATCGAAAATGTGATTTTTGTTAATCAAACCTACATATTTGAGTATGAAAACACAGGTAAAACCAAGTTAAGTTTGTAAATTTTAGATTTTTCTGCCGATTATGGTCTAGCATTGCGATATGATTAATATACAACTGAAACTGCATGAGAATCAAATGTATAGAGGTAGGCATACTCTCACACCCCAAATTGTTCTCTTCATGACCTAGTTAAATTAGAATAAAAGATAGTCATGAAAAATCTTAATTATTAAAGTTGTGCAACCGGATCGAACTGCCCATTGGAACTGGTCTGGTTCTAGGTTTCTGTTAGAACCGCTTCGGTTTCTGGTTCCGAGTGAAGAACCACTCGAGAATTGAATTGACTGGACCGAATTTGGATCCGGTTTTATAAAATCTAAAAATCTTGATATTTTTCTTGGCATTTTTTTCTCTCTCTTTATTTTTCTCTATTCTTTCCAACCTTACTCAAACACTTCACATCTCTCTCTCTTTCTCTGGACTCACCCTCCTCGTTAGCTCGTGGCTCACCCTCGCTCGTTCGAGCCTTGCAACCCTCTTTTGTTCATTCTCATTCATCTTTTACTTTGAATTGTTTTGTTGCTCATATTATTTGGCTATAGAAAAATGAAACAAAACAAGGAACAAAAGGAAAACAGGTTCTCGGGTGGATCGTGGAACTGGATCGAAATAAACAGGATCGGTTCTAGGTCAAACGTGGTAGATTGTAAGTTCCAAAAACTGGGAACCGATTTTAAGAAGGTAGGTTCTAGTTTTCATATATCAGGTATGGAACCTACACACCCTAAAATCGATCACCCCTATCAATCATTATCTCGCTTCGTCATTTTTCTTGAGAAACAAACAAGAGTGAAAGAAAGCCTTGCAGCTCCCCCTCAATCTCGCTTTGTACCTAAAATACCATTTCCCATTATGCTTTTTTCCTTGACGACGAAGCACGCCGGCAGATAGAAGTAAAGCAATTGCGTCTACCAAATCACGGACAGCCAATAACTCCGATCGATCAATGTAGAAAATCCCGTTTGCTCGAATGAGATCCACATGGTACTCGTGATTAGTTCTCGTGGACGGCTAAATTGCAAATCACAAAACCCTCTTTCTTTTCACGGTGGTGGGTCACGGAGGCGTTTCGGCGGTAGCCGCAAGGTTCAAGAAACAGATACTCGCGAAGCATGTCACAAAAATCACTTGTATTAAGCCATTAGGAAAGTGGAAATTAGGGTCAGACGTACGGTCAAGATTCTGATGCAGAAACCAGTTTATGCAGAAGCTATTTCAGACAATAATTTAACGAAAAGGGATGGACA